TGATTACTAAGGAGGAGACGGCGGTTGTGTTGAAGGTGCGTCAGGCTGGGAGGCAGTTGTTTGAGCTGGCGAAGAAGGCGGATGAGGTGTTGGTGAAGGAGATGGCGGAGGAGAATGAGGTTTGGAAGGAGATCTTTAGTAAAGAGGAGAAGGAGGGGTTTGCGAGGGAGTTTATTGAGGTGGTGGCGAGGTGGAGTGGGGTGAACCCTTGCGGGGTTTTGAGAAAGGGCGGTTGTGGCATGCTTCCATTAGACTTCCAAAGACTGACGGTTTACAGGGCATGCTTTTCGCTTCACTTTTGTCGTTTCGATGCAACTTTTTGCCATCAATCTTGCTGCGAAATAGGTCAGAAATTGAACATCCATGCGAGTTGACATGCCTAGGCAACCTTAGAGGTGAGTAACGGGAACAAAGTCACTAAACCTTACCATTTCAACTAGCGTTGGAGGAGTCAGAGGAGTCAAAAGAAATCCTATCTTGTATTGAACATACTAGTTTACTCAACCAACACTCACAGTCTACCCACAGTTCCATCTAACCCACTAAACAAGTGCCCTATGTAATGCATCTCTCCGACTGAATCTCTCTAAAAGAGTCCCTCTAAACGAATGCCTCTAGATGAATTTCTCAATGCCGCTATCCCCCAACCTATCTAACCCTGCAGACTTGAGCGCGAGTCTTGTTGGTTTTCACCAGCTTCCATCAAGTCTCATACTCTGTACCACGTCTTCTCTCCTGGGAACTCCAACTCCTAACCGGCGGTTTATACGGCGGGTTCGCGTCTCGGGGGACTTTGCAAACAGGGCAAACATACACATAATTGACAGGCCCACATGAATTGATTGCGCGACAGTCTGGGTTAGGGCAGATCCAGTCTCCCTTCATCTTCGGACAAACGAAGTAAGCGTTCTGGCATTTTTTGGTGTTGCTCTCGTCGTTGAGGTAGTCGCACAGGCCGCATCGGTAGTGTTCGCTGTGAGGCATGGTGTATGTTGGCTGTGCGTGCGGTTGAGATGGGGTTTGATGGTTGAGATTGGATGTTGGTAGATTTGGGTGCGAATCTACTGTCCTGTGAATCCATGGCTCAGTTGGCAGAACGCTCTATTGTTACTGGGGAATCACTTACGAGATCCAAGTAGACTATTAATAGGGGTTGTTGTTGTTGTAGACCTGCTGACAACCGAGGAAGATAGGTGATAGATGTTCGTTGTTGATAATAGACTCTAAGTGTTGTATTCTATGTGTTGTATTGTACATTAATAGACGGCGTCAGCGAGGCGCCTTTAATACTATCATGCATTCACATGTCGTACTCAGATGTGATTGCCACAGAACAAACGACTCAAACGATACCTGAAGCCCCCTCATCAATTAATGGCGAAGGGAAGCACAACTCGATGTCACATGTGATTGCACCTGGCTCTTCACATCGTTCAGCGCAGTCAAACATCGACTAAATATGGTATGTTAGCGGAGCCTAGGGGTGTGCGGACTCGAAGTATACAGGAAATATTTTTGGCTTTACTTCAAATCGTGCTGTGCAATCACTGATTATGAAGAGAACTGGGTTTCTTCACGCTTCACTTCGTTCCAAATACATTTCAACATCGATAAACTCCATAGTATTGAAAGTCCCGACCAGAAAAAAGACTGACATCAACCATACATATTATATCCTCCATTAAACAAGGTGTGCAAATCTCTGTAGTCCGTCTGGCCCAACCCTGAGATACCCAACCGAAATGAATGACCTTAGCCGATATCTCCAACCCCTCTGCACCACAATCTTTCCACCTCCGCCCACTCTGTTATTGTATTCAGATATTTGGCGGTCCTGATTGACCAGGAGGGTGCGAGGTGAAGGTGGACTTCCCGTGCCTGTCTATAGCACCAAAATGTCCAGGCGGCCAGTCCGGTTTGTGCGGGTTCTTCTTGTCTTCAGGGGTACCACATTTATTACAAACACTTTCCTCGTCGTCTGCACGTGGGTGGTCGGACCATACGATGTTCTTGCAAGACTTGCAAACCCAGTCATGCTTCGTTACGGAACAGCTTTTCATGATGGGGTTCATGCATTTTCCCTCGTGAGTTTCCGGATTGGAGTAATTGCACCAAGTGCAAGCCCATGTCAATTCCCCGGGCATATTTGGATTTCCTTGCTAGGGTGTTTGAGGGGACTTGTAGGACGAGGTAGGGTAATGGTCGTTTTAGGTGCGGATGCGATGGCGTTTTCAAGGTTTACTTGGTGAAGTGATGGGTCGCCTTCTGTTCTCGATCGAGGGCTGCTCAACCAGTAGGAGTAGTTCCGGTAGAACGAATCAATATCGCTACCTTGCTTGATACAAATGATAAGAGTAGATAGATGTTCGTGGTTGTTAAGTAACTTTTGCTGTTGCGATGCACCTAGACAGAAGGCGCGCAAGAATCGCAATTTATACTGGTGAAGACTCACATATCTTACTTACTCACATTCATACTCACATCTGGCTCACTGCATTGCTCAGTGTAGTCAAAGATTTGACTGTATCAAGTACTTCGATGGAGTCGTTGCATTGAAGTCACCGACTGATGATAACGTCTGACTGAACATGGCGGGGCTGTACTACCTACAACACAACCTTAGTAACGAGCTGAGAACACTTATAGAAATAACACGTGTTGTATATAGATAACGCCTCGTTTCTATCCCGCTAGTTGGCCCGTGATGCCGCACTGACCTAAAAGTCATTTTGTCGCTGTCGATGCGATCTATCCTGCCTTTCTAATTGCCGCTCTATGAACTCCGTAAAATAGAATCTAAACGTGTACTCCGCAGCTTTGTCGTGTACGTGTTCGGTATTCGCATCTTGGGGGCTGGACAGTCTTTCCCAGCGCACTTAAGCGAGCTGTCTTCTGGACCCTGACTTCGTCATATTACGAAATGTTCCTTTCCATCCTTCGAATCCTTCGCATCCTTCGCACGGTTACACCATCAACAGTCATATCTCTCGTCATATACCTCACCACCTACCCTCTACCCTCTCTCCTAGAATTGATCTCCAGCCCATGACCCTCGGCTCTTCATCTCCCCTCATACTCCGTCCCCTTCTTCCTCTCCGCCGAGCTCCAGCTCCTCACTGGCGGCGTATACTTGTACTTCGCATCAAACGCCGCGCCACACTGATCACACCTATACACGCCGTCCTTATCGCAGCCCAGCGTGATGCGCACAATGTTTGGGCACTTGGCGCAGAACCAGTCGCCTTTTGATTTGGGGCAGTAGGCGATGTTGTTCAGGCAGGCGCCGCTGTGAGAGGCCGGGTTGGGGAAGTCGCAGCCGGAGCAGCGGTAGGGTGTTGCTGATGGCATAGTTGAGTTGGCGATTAAGACTTGGAGGAGTAAAGTATGTAGGTAAAGGGACGCTGTTAGGTCGAAGTTGCGGGTCGGAGTTTAGCGGTGGTTTGATCTCTCGAGGTTAATTGTTGTGTACGTGATGAATGTAATCGGTGTGTAGACTTGAAAGTGTGGACTGAGTGAGTGAGTGTGGATGTGCTCGAAAGTATCTCCTCTAACACCCGCGTCGGAAGATCCAGTATTTACACTCTCAGATCTTCGAAATTCAGGTTCGTTTAACCCAATGGTTCTTTTGACCAAACGTTCTTTCTTTCGGGCTGTGTTCCGTCGTATTTCCATACGTATACCGAGCGAGAAGAAGGTTTGTGCGCCGTGGGGTGTTCGGCGAGGACGACCTCACTACCTAATTACTAACCTACCTAACCAAGACGCCGTCTCATCATGAACTACCCATCTAGCCAGCCATCCGATCCCACATTCCCTACCTCACTCATTTCCTTTAGTGCCCTGTTGCTTCTCATACAGTACTCATTCTTCCATCTCATAACCCATCTCTTCGTACTTGTCATCCATGGATGACTCGCGAGATTACATCGCCAGCCAGACTCACGAATCACTCCCTACTACCCCATTCGCCACTTTTTTTCCTCTTCAACCGCACCCAGCCTCAGCCTCACGCAGAGCCCGAAGACTCGGTCGCTGAAACACCTTTTTCTACCGCACCGTTCCTTGATGTTCCTTGATATCCACCTAGCGCCCCCTACCCGGACAACCATTGGTTCTTGGCGTAGAAAAAGCATCCTCAGCGCTGACGTGCACGCCGCTAGTACACGTGTACTAACCATAACAAAGCCTACAAGAGGACTATCATTACATCTTGGCTTGTTTCCGCGCATCTGGTTTTGTTCCCGGCCACGTTGTTTATGTTCCGTTCCACGTGGAATCTTCCATGTGGCAACCATGGCGCATGCAGATCGCAACGTAGAATGACAAATAGAATAGGTGTGGAAGGGGAGGAAGGTTCGAGAAATGAGGCGGTGGAGGTGTTGTTTTTGTGTCAGGTTGATGGGTGAGGATGGGGGTTGAGTAATCTTAATAGTGCGGCACAAGGTATTATGGAGGCTGCTATGGTGCGGTGTTTGGAATTTGGAGGACAGTTGTTGTAATTGTATCCATGAAACGCTCATGGGTACTCACGACTGTGATCTCATCAGACCCTTGTAGGTTCTCCTACGTGAACCACTCTACCAACGACGAGAACTGCACCCTCAAATAGTGAACCAAAACGCTGGAAGACGCTTGGTACAATGCCAAACAATTATTCTCGGTACCAACAGAGCCGATGCGGACGGGAAGCTCCGATGTGAATCTGGTCTAGGATGTAACCCAAGCTATAGACGGGCGTATCCTTCTCCTTCACGGTGATGGGCAGGGGCGCCAGAAGTCTAAGCTCGAGAGGTACCATTGCGGCGGTCTGGAGAGCGAGACGGGCGTGCCGAGGTTGGTTGGCAAAAGAGTGAGAACACTTTGAGTCGCAAAGTGATCTGGGGTAGAAGCTTGAAAAGAATACTTATAAACTAGGACGAAGGAAACGAAACCATTGCGAAGACCATCATCTCCAGCCTCATCAACCAAGCACCAAGCCACCTACACGTTGTTATCGCAGACTACTTCTGATGCGTATGATCACTGCGCGCCCCAGTAACTCCAATATTGAAGTCCTCGCGTATCCTCGACAGCGCACTCTGTTCCTCTTCATCCGCGACTTCATCATCGACTTCAACTTCAGCAATGCTATGTCTACTATCCGAGCCATCACTACCATCAGCGTTAACCAACGCCTCCTGCTCCTGCTCCTCCTCATTATCCGAATCATCATCCGTGTCGTCGTCATCGGCTTTATTCGATTCGCGAGGATCGCGGCCAAGCTCCGGTTTCGTCTTGCGCTCAAAGTCCTCAGCGTGGGCGTCGCGGAAGATTTCGCCGACATGAGTGAACGCGCGCTGGAGAGGAGAGGGACGGAAGTCGTCTTGAGGGCCGCGGCGCTTGCGCGTATTTGATTGGGAGTGTTCGAGGTCTGCTCCTGAAGCTGTAGCTGGGCGGCGGACTTGGTTGTTGTTCTCGGTTGGAGTGTAGGGACGAGCCTCGTCGGGCTGTTCTTCGTCGATGAGGGTGGGTGCTCGAGGGATACCGGAGGTGTGGTCTTCTTCCTCTTCTGCGTCCAAGGGGAGGTAGTAGGGTAGTGGTACATCTCTGCTTGCGCGGAATCGACCGACGTTCGTGCAGTGCTCGTTCTCGACACGGAATACGGACCACATGCCCCTTCTGAAGATCTCACTGAGGGAGACACAGAAAGAAGTAGTCGCTGAGTGCTGAAGCTGCAGGGGTGTGACGAGGTACATAACCCAATTGTTCCGTAAGATTGGATCAATGCACATAGCAGTGTAGTACCACCACACTTTCTTGTATCCCAGCTCCTTGCGCAGGAAGGGATGCTTGGCATGTGGGTCACCGAGACTCCAGTCGTAGTAGATGTCCCAGAAGCTCGTGTAGATGCCGTTGATGGTTGCGAACAGTATGAAAACTGCCTTGGTAGATGGTTTCTGGTCCATGCGGTAGATGCTGGTGGAAACATAGAACAGGATGGTTGCGATGTACTTTCCGCCGTTCAGCAGATGAGGGAACTTGTTTCCGGTGTCTTTGTAACGTCGCAGACACTGCATCAATCGCCATATACCCGGCAACGTCGTCATGACGCCGGTAACGCGTAGGTGAGACGAGTTGCATTGGTTGGGATTGTCCCAGCCGTGCGCGTAGAGACAGAAAAACAGTGCGATGCCCTAGACGGGTCAGTGATTTGTAGCAGAGATGGGTTCGGCGGACTTACACTCATGCTGTAGGTCAGAGAACAGAACATATCGCCCAAGTAGAAGTCTCGCCATTCGACAGGGTATATACCGGCGAGCAACAGGCGCCACTGGCGAGCCATTAGCAGTGGTTTCGCATGAGTTGATCAACAAACTTACCAGGGAATACAGCAGCCACATGCGAGTACGGAAGTACATTATCCTCAGAGGATTGAACAAAAGCGCGACCGATATACCAATAAGAATGACGGGGTAGTAGAGATAGAGTCGATCTCCCCCAACCTGATGAAAGTTGATTTGCATAAACAGACCAAGCATAAACAAAGTCCAACAAGGAAGCTATGATACGTCAGTGTCGGTGTGCCAGATACGGAATGAGTACTAACCTCCGCAAGTTGCCTCCAGTCCAAGTGGTGGCGGGTATCATATTCGAAGATGAAGACGTAGTTGATCTTGTGCTCGTGCCAGGTCCGACACGCCAGAGTGAATAGGAGAAGAAGGAAGTTGATGAGGAAGTAGCCGGCATATATCTGAAAACATTAGCTTTGCCCTATCCATGGTTTGGATGACTCACCTGCAACAGATAGCTCGTGTTCACTGCGAACTCGTTCCCGTCAGTATTGTGCAGATCTGCAATAGTGTTTGCTTTGATGAGACCCTGGATGCCAAGTATGACGCCCGCCGACAATAGCAGACCGTTACGGAATGTATTGTCTGTGTAATCGCCTGCTCGTGCGATCTTGATGCGTAGCTTCCCGATGGCGACTTTGTGGTTGCCCTTCTCGAAGTATCTCGCGTATAGGTCCTCCGTTGCTCGAATGTGCCCTTCGATTACGTCGCTGTTCACGAACCAGGCTTGGTTGACCTTCTCATTCATGTACCGCGACGACGGTCGCGCGTTGACGGTCTTGTCATACTTCTTGTTGATTTTCCGGAAGGCAGTCCGGTTCAACAACGCGTAGGACTTGAGAAGCTCAAGCCCTCTGTAGTACTCCTGCAGTGCCACCTTGAGCTTGCGCTTCGCTGTCTGGTATGGCACGTCGGGCAGATCTGGCCGTCTAGCAAAGTCGCGACGGCTATCGGGATGGTCCTTGGGCTGAAGAGCCGCTGGGGTCGCAAGCTGTGTTATATTCTTGGTGCTCTTCCCGTACTTGCCCGCGTTAATGGCGTCCAACGCGGCGTCTATGGGGTTTAGGAAAGTGTCCTTGAGAGTGTTTCCAATATTCCCATTCCCGTTGGCCTGCTGATTTTCGTCGCCCGAGCTGCTGTTCTGACCGTTGCTCAGCACATGGTGCCCGTCGTGTTTCTTGTGGGCCTTCGCATTGATCTTGTCCGTTTGACGCTTGATGACCTCGTCGATACGTCGGTCTCGCATGATGTGGAGTTGGTCGCGTAGCACGTTCAGGCGCTTGGTAGCCTCGTCTTCCTTGTGCTTGTAGAACGACTCGATCTTATCCAGCTCGCCATCGAGGAAGTTGAAGAACTCGGCTTGTCGGAAGTCAAGGTCGCGGTAGGCTTCGAGGGGGACGTCGCCTGGGCTGTCCGGGGGAGTCTTGCTGCTCAGTGAGAATAGACGGCGTACCGATGGGCGCGACTTGTGCTCGGTGATAGGGCCGGGCAGCGAGTTCATGCGCTTGGGGGTGAAGACGCTCTTGTATCGGTTGGGCAGCGAGCTGTGATGCTTGTGGGGCGACACCGTCTTCCCAACCTCGAAAGCATTGTCGTTGTCGTTCTCTGCTGGCGGAGGAAGCGTGACTGTCTTCTGCTTTCGCAGTGATGCGCCAGACGCCGCTCCTCCTTGAGGGGAAGGGTTCTCAGGGTCGAGCGCAGCCCCAGGCAGCTTCAAGGACGGCGGGGCCTTGGCCTTGTCTGCAGAGGTGCCGGTCTTGGTGGCGCCATCAGATGTGCTTCCCTCAAAGCTGCCGTAGTTGTGTGCCCAGTCGCGGCGGTTCGTCTCGCTCTGTGCCAATGGCTCTTCTTCGGGCGTGCGGCCACTCTGGTTGCTGTTCGCTCTCTGGCGCAGGCTGTGCTGGCTGCGGCTGTTGGTGATAGCAAGCGCCCTCAGGTCCTCGGGGTCTCTGGCGCTGCCCGTCTGGTCGCGGTTGAGGTACGTGTACTTGGGCGCGGCGTCGAAGGGCGAGGGCAGGATCTGGGTGCCGCGTCGGCGGAGGCGTGGGGTCGATTCGACATTGCGGAGGGCGCGACTGATGGCCTTGAGCTTCTTCTTGCCCACCTGAGGTATCGTCAGTCGTCTGTGGTATTAAGCGTCGGCTAGCGGAAGTCGGCATCACCTTGTAGTCTAAGTACTTGAGCCGCCACTCCGGTACCAGATCGCGCTCTAGCTCTCTACTGCAGGTCAGTCCCGTGGCTGGAGTTATTTAGGTGCGTCGTCTCACTTTGCGAACTTCATGACCGTCTCGTTGGCGCGTCAATACCCAAACACGATCAATGGGGGGCACAAAAGCGCGTTCGCGTTTCTCGTCGATGCATGAGGTTCCGCGCAGACACAGTGTAAAATGTTTCACGGGCGCGATAAGGGTTAGTAAATGCGAAGATGGTCGCGTGCTACCTTCAGCAGTTAAACCGTGGTTGCGAGGGCTGTCACGATGAGATTGAGTATACCGCGGAGGAGATTTGCACGAATCATGTTCCCCTTGGCAGCTATTGGCGCATTGGCGACAACGTCATAGCTAGGGATCCTGTATTTCGCAGGTGTGGAAGCCCCTCAGAAGCATCCAGCACAAGACCGGATAAACACACACGTCGATAGAGGCATACAGCTGCCACTGTTCACGAAACACGTTGACGATACCGAGGGGCTGGCCAGAGCACTGGTCTCAAAAGGATTGAGCTAGTCCTTCATTGGATTCTTGGTTGCTTCTATGGGTGTGACCAATCATAGCCGTCTCTCCTCCGCTACCACCCGCGCCTCTCAAACTTCTCTGGGCGACCATACTGCTGAGGGTCGTACTGGTCCGCGCCATGGTTGTCGATGTAGTGCTCGTCGTACATGCGCTCTGCATGATGCTCTGCGTCGCGCTTGGCCTTCTCGCGGTCGAACCAGTCCTCGCCCTTGGTCTCGGCGAGCTTGTCAACCTACCGACGTCCAATTAGCCGCCATCCCATACACCGTCACACGGTGATGCTTACCTCAGCGCCTGCGAAGCCGGCAAGAAGCTCTTTGGCGAACTGATGGGATACCGGCTTGCCTAAGACGACGTCAGTGTGCGATAAGATCAAGTATGTGAAGATACATACCTTCTTTGCGCTGGTGGTCTTCAAATGCCTTGAAGCCTGCGAAAGCAGCTCCTCCAGCGATCATCTCGTGTCCCAGACTTGACTTGTTCTCTTCGAAGTTGTCATTCTCGTATACCTGCTGGTAGTTGTCTTCGTTCCTGTCTGTAATGGAGTCAGTGGGAGACATCTTCGATAAATGAGACAGACGAACCCCAGAAACCCATTTTGATAGTTGATGATGTGAAGACGAAAAGATGAGGGGTGATATTGGACTTGTTTGTAGTTCAGCAATGGTAGTTGAGTGTAGTGTCCATTTTAGAGGCGTACTTTGTCAGCCTTTAAGTATCTCTCCTCGGACAACCGCTGCCACGCGGCGTCATAATCGGCCAGCATTCATGCATCTGTTGGCAGTAACAAATCACTCATCGAGGCCGATCGTACCCCTCTCTTCTCACGCTCAGCCATCCAGGGACCACTTGTGGCTCAGCTGTGAAGCACATGCAGGGTCCTTGAGCTCATTCTTGCGCCACGTTACGCACCAGACCGCTGACATCTTAATCTGAGTGGCTCACTCTTCGTGTCGGCACGTTTGAAAGTATATTGACGAACCTGTTGCGGTATAGACGCGTGCGTAATGGGCCAGGATGTGGACGTCAGATCAACGGGACGCTCGGCACAGTCAAACAAGCTTCCTTGGTAAAGCTTAGCCTCGCATGACGGAGCGTCTAGGCTCGCGAGCTGAGGGGCTGCGCCTGCAAGAGGTTCCAAATACTCATTGGACAGTACCACAGGATGCGAAACGAAAGTTGAGTTCTCTTGCCAATACTGTAGCCTGGCCTCAGGTAGGATACCTAGGTAGTTGGGGTTGTTGCTTGTTCCGTGGTAGAAAGCTTGGCTAGTTAGCGCGCGATCATCTCCCGAGTCTCAGGTGCTCCAACTCCACCATGTACTCAGCCACAACCCCATCTTCGCGACAACATGCCGGGCCGACTCCCCACGAAAGCTGACTTTCCATCGTCGGTGACCTTGAGCATCACGCCACGTATGTCGCAATCTCCAGAGTCGCTCTTACGCTCGCTAACTCGTCCAGCGCCGGCTTCGCAACCACCCACGAACATCTTGATCCTCCTACACGGCCTCGGCGACACGAATGCGTCCTTCACGAAACTCGGGGAGCAACTGAACCTCCCAGAAACAGCATGCATCGCGATACAAGCGCCGAACCCACTGCCGTTCGATCTCGGTGGAACGCACTGGGGTGAAGACATGATCTTTGACTCCACTACAGGCGAGATGGACATGGACACCGGCGTCCAGAAGTCCACACTTCTGGTCCTAGATCAAATCATTCGCGAAGGTCTCATCGGCAAATGCGGCTACAAAGCGCGCGAGATCATGATCTTTGGGTTCGCGCAAGGCGGCATGGTCGCACTGCAGGCTGCTGCCCAGCTTGAGGAAGAATTAGGCGGGGTGATCAGCATCGGAGGGCCTCTATCCCAATCAGTGCCGCTGAAGGCTTTAGAGAAGAAGAGCAAAACTCCGGTGCTAATCTGCAAAGCAGACAAGAAGTCTGCAGTCACCGACAGTGCGACTACGAAGCTGAAGGATGCTTTCCAATATATCGAGTTCAAAGAGTGGAAGAAGAACGGCGATGGCATGCCGAGCAGCCGCGACGAGATGCTGCCCATCATGCAGTTCTTTGCTCGTCGGCTACGGAGTACTAGAGGAGTCCCAGCAGGTAGCGTCGAGATCGGATAGGCACGTCAGGGAAGATATCGCGAAATGTATTGTCGAGGTCAGTCAAAGCCTCCGTATGCCACTACGCGCATGCGGCGCCTTTCCAAGTGCTGGGTAGGTAGCAAAGTAAGGACACCAAAGAATATAATCGGCTCCCCAAGCATCAAGCGATCTGAACATGAAAAACTTTACACCCACACACATTCCACGTCGCTTCGCCCACCACATTCCTGGAATCGCGCCTTCCTGCCCTCGTGATGCACGTGGCATGGTCCGAGCGCCTTCTACGTCACTTTCATCCTTCAACACCATTCGCTCATCGTCTTCCACCCTCCCAAAACCTACACACGCTTCACCGCTAAACACAGCCATGGCGGTGCCGAGGAATTCTTTGCGAGCCTTTCTCACACACGCGAGAGGCGCTCTCCGGAGCGCCATTGAAACTAGTCAGAAGATTACATTCGTCATTGGCAATGAGTCTGCGGGTGAGCATGACTCCTGCTCCACAATGGCGCTGCATACTCATGAAATGCAGACCTTGATTCGATGTCATGTTCCATTTTGTACGCATACCTCCGGTCCATGTCGCCGCCCAAGAATGCCTTTAGCCCACTTTACGTACCAATCACAAATATTCCAGCGTCCGATATTCAGCTACGACCGGAATACTTGGCCGTATTCAAGCACGCCAATATTGAGTCAAAGCACTTGATCACGTTGGATGACCTTCCTGCTTTGTCAGACATACAGTCGAAGCTCACGCCTGAGAATACCAAATGGATCTTGGTAGACCATAATGCGCTGCAGGGCCAATTGGGCAAAATCTACGCAGAGCGTGTCGCTGGTGTCATTGATCATCATGACGACGAGAAAAAAGTACCCCAAGACACAGGCGACGAGCCGAGGATAATCGAGAAGTGTGGCAGCTGCACTAGCTTGATTGCAAACTACTGCCAGCCATCATGGGACATGGCTTCCGCGTCTGCCTTGTCTTCGGGGGCAGCCCATGCGCAGGGTGACAGCATGTCCAACGACGCTGCCTTTGTCAAGCGCTGGGATGCAGACGTCGCCCAGTTGGGACTGGCCAGCATTCTCATCGATACGGCCGATCTCCACGACGAGAACAAAACGACCGAGCATGACCGTAAGGCTGTCGAGTACCTGGAAGCTAAGATCATGCTCTGTCCCCCGCTGGCTGCAAGCTTCGACCGCGCCAGCTTCTACAAGGAGATCAACGCAGCAAAGAAGGACATTGGAAGTCTAAAGCTGCACGACATACTTCGGAAGGATTATAAGCAATGGGACCAGGGTGGCCGCAAGCTCGGTGTCAGTTCTGTTGTCAAGCCTATAGAGTTCCTCCAGAAGAAAGCCGGCGACGAAGCAGGTGCTCAGGCATCCGACGCGTTCCTCAAAGCGTTGGAGGACTTTGCAAGGGAGCGTGAATTGGACATGTATTCCCTGATGACCACGTCGTCGGGTGCAGATGGGCAATTCCAGAGAGAACTGTTACTATGGGCCTTCAACGATGGCGCCGTATCGGCTGCCAAAACATTTGCCACGAATTCAAAAGATGAGTTGGGATTGGAGGACTGGCAGGGCTCCGACGATATTGACAGCAAGAGCGAGTGGAGAAAGACTTGGTGGCAGCGACAAGTGCAGCACAGTCGGAAACGTGTCGCTCCTCTACTCAGGGAAGCCATGCCTTGACTATGGGTTCTGGGCAAGCTGTGATGGAGTCGCGGAGGCAGCGATCGGGTACAATGGTGCCGGTAGAGCGCTACGCTGGCGCGTTGGTGTCGGATTAGCGGGGATCGCCACGATTTCGCATGTCTTGCATTGTAGATAGGCGCTTAGCAGCGATTGGGCAGGGCAGCCGTCAGCCCAAAATGCCGTTGGGTAGAGTACGTGGAATGGCCATGGGTACCTGAAGAAGGAGCGGTCTGTATGCGGCAATCGTGTGGCGGGGTATTACACGCGACCGGCAGATGGTCGACGATCTCCGATAGCCAGCTGGAAACGAAACATGTTCAATGTAACATTTCAACGCCCACGCAGGATATTCTTATCTCGTAATATTACGATCGCGATTGAGTTGCCATGCACCAGGATATAGCGGCAGACGCACTGCGACTGCAAACATGCAAAAGGAACGAAGCTCCGCAGCGACTGCAGCGATAGCCCCAAGCAGGAGATGCTGCAGAGAGTTTAGTATGTGGTGTGACGGTGCGGCTCATTGGATGGCGACTGGATATGCACGGCGGAGTGATGAATGATGTCGAGGATTGCGAGGCACTAGGCATGCACTGGGAGATGAATGGGAAAACATGGGTTCACAGCGGTGCAGCGCGATGCTTTGGCGTGCAGCATGTTGCATGGCTTGGTCCTTTTTGACAGCCATGCGCTGGCAGCGCAGGGGAAGAGGGCGACTCCACTCGCCGGCCGTCACGTCAGGAGGGCGAGCAGAGCTGCGCGCAGGCGATTAGCTGAGGGGCGTCGTCTGTATTGGCGCTGCAGCTGCAGCGGAGAAGCGTGTTTGAGAGTTTACGAGTTGCTCTGCTCGTGAGGGCAGTGTGCCGTGGTGAAGGGAGGAGGGGTAGCGTTGAGGGGCGGTCGCAGAGGCGGCCAGCGATACCGCCTAGTCTCTCTATGGCGACATCAACACGGCCAGCACCAGCGGCGGGAGAGCGTCGCCGAAGCTTCCATCAGAGCGACGACGGCGCCGATCCAAAGCGTGCGTTGTCGACGAGTCTCTGTGCGAGGCGGGGATGGCTGGTGTGGGAAGGCGAGGGTCTGAGCTGAGGCATTCGGCGGGCTGGTCCTCATTCGTCCCACTGCGATGTGCTGTTCCTGCAAGTCATCGCCTGGACGGCTCCATGGCGACATGGAGGTCGTGGGCAGGTCTGGCGGTCTGGCACGGCCACCAATCTGAAGCAGCTCCCCCGCTGTATTTCGCACACGGTATGCTTTCTAGGCGGCTGGCGGCTTAGCAGTAGTATGGGATTAGTCGGGGCCGTTGAGCTGCAGTCGTGACTTGTTACAGGGACTCGAGGACGAGGCCCAATCACGCTTCTTTTGCCTCGCTTCTGTATCATTACCACCTAAAGAGTCAAGACGCGCCAGCGCATACGTCGAGCGCGGTGGAGAGGGCGCGCCCAAAGCAGTTCTTCTTCTCCCAAGACTACCGCCCCATCTGGCAATGCCGTAGGGGATCTCTGCCACCTTCTTGAGGTCCGCACCTTCCGTAGGGCTTCCATGGGGCTCTCTCATGGCGACATGATGCGACGAACCCAACTCACAGCCTCGCCGGCGCAGGCTGGCAACACTCCGCGTAGGTGCCCATCTCCCTCCCCGTGCTCTGCCATCCCCCCCGTGCGCGAGCGCGTCTCCGGCCAATAGCTGGCGCGGGCATCAATGCGCTGCTCTGTGCATGTACGATGAGCTGGCAGGCGAGCCGACGCTGACTTTCTCGTAGCCGTGTCGCCCACCGTCACCCATGTGTCGTCCAGATGCCACACGCCCTCGCACACTACTTCTCAAGTCGACGACCCGCCCGCTGAGGCTCCGCCTAGGTCTCACAGCCCGCCCAGGTCGCCCTCACCTCGCGCTCCCAAACCACCACCGGCCACCATGGGCAGCCGACCTGGCGGAACTCCAGACGTCCACGCCGACCGCCATGGCCACCAGCAACTCCAGCGCCCCCAGATACCCGCCTCCATGTCTGCCCCCGCCGGCCGCCTGCCGCGCCTGCTGCCCGCGGACCTCTCCTCCTACACCGACTCGTACCTGCCGACTGCAGCCATCCCACCGTCCGCGACTTCCCTCGCCGAGCTCGCTCACCTGATCCGCCTCCAGGGCTACCAGGAGCAGCGCAAGACGCATGCCCGCGTGCGCCTGCACCGCTGGCTGGTCTCGAGCGCCCTCTCCGCACGTCTGGTACACTGCGGCGAGCTGGCCTACCGCACGCTGGTCGACAACTTCCGCTCCGACGACAAGAAGTCGTTCGCCTCCCTCTACAACGCCCTCAACGATGTCCGCAACTCGTGCGACGCCACACGGCAGTATGCCCTCTTGGAGCCGGATCTGGAGTTTGGCAAGTCCAAGAACTTCCGGAGCGAGAAGCCCCTCTCTGCCTCCACTTTCCTCAATGAAGTCCCGTCCAAGATTCTGGACAACCTTCTCGATTTCATTTCTGAAATCCGTACGAACCCAGAATTTCTTGCTGCTCGTATTTCCAGTCTTTCGCAGCAAGAGCTCACTTCTCTTACGTCTTTCCGTCAGACCATGGACCCGATTGACTCGGTCATGTTTGCAAACGCCCGTAGCCGCAACGCTCCCTCGCAGAAGGCCCAACAGCAAGGAACAAGCCCGGTTGAACGTCTTCTATCTTTCCAGCGCCACGATCCGCTGTCTGCCCTCGTCTACACCATCTTCGCTAATTCATCCGGACCCGACTCGGCAGAGGACCTTCGCCGCACAGATGTATGGGCCACTGTTTGTGCTAAGCTGATTAAGAACAACAACCCCAACTTCATCCGCACTGTGCTCGATGTTTGGGCCGGCATGCGAGAATGGCCCGGAAAGACCAACTTGGAGCTCTATCTTATGCAGACCCTCCAGGATGGCCAGTTCCTGCTCGAGAAGCCCGAGGAGCAGGCCGCACGACCCGGAATGCAAGCGACCCCGCGCTCCAGCAAGGACACCATCGCAGCAGACGAGTTCTTTGACAAGGCTGTCAAGCGTCTGTTCGAGGTCGTTGACGATGAGCCCAGTGCCGGCGGCATTCCAGAAGGAGTCTTGGAGATTGGAAATGCCATCCTCCGCAAGCTGGAGGACGAGAAGAGCTTGCGCAGGGCTTCGCAAAATTTCTTTGTCTCGCGTTGGCTCTTCTCTACCTTCCTCATGAACGCCATCATCCATCCCGAGGCATGTCTACCCTTTCTGACGCAAGAACTGCGAAACTAATACCAAACAGACCCATGGCATCATGATTGGCCACCACATCAGTGAGCATGCTCGCATCAAGATCCTGAAAGAGGTCGCCATCCGAGCGCAGAAATATGTCGTGAACATGACCTACAACTGGTATGACGCTATGCTGCAGTACCCTTGGGCCATCAGCTAACAAAATTGTAGGAAGCAGAAAAACGAAATCCTCCCAGAGATCCGCACACACATCGAGAACATCCTCGCTCGGTTCAAGCACACCAAGACACCCTCGAAGCCAATTTTGCTTCCTGCAAAGGCTATAACATCACCCAGAGAAACTGTGGAAGTTCAGCCATTCATTGTCTTGTCACCAGCCGACATAGTCACCCTGGTCAACGCCCTGTTCCCGGAGCGACGTCCGTCATCCAGCCACATGGACAATGACAGCCAGCGCCGTACTGGTCTGGCTTCCTCTGCTTCTTCCATGTCCGGAATGTCGGTTCCATTCCGCAATGCCGCCGCTTCCGTGACTGACGCAAGCTCTATCCTGAGTGCCAGTGCTTCTTCAATGACCAGTGACCAGACCTCGCGTGAGCCACTCCTGGACAGCAACCCGGTATCCGGCGAATCACCGACAGAGATGAAGCCTGCACCAACAGAGCAATACGGAAGACAGCTGCGAATGGCATGTTCTGAGATGACCCGCCTCCTAGGTTTCGAAGCTACATCAGGCTCTTGCCATCCGTGCGCAGAGCGATGGGCTGTCCTTTACATCTCCGCCGATGGAAAGCAGCTGAAACCACGTATGCGCAAAGACTTTGATGATGAAGATGAGCACGACGAGGACTCACCAGACAGCGACAGCAGCGACGACGAAGAGGGCGGGAACAGGTTCGATCTTGGCAACGACTACCACCAGCTGAAAGAGGCAATCGCCAAGCTGGTGGAGGAGTACGAGATTCCCAAGGATCTTGCGCCCGACAGCGAATCGAAGAACTTCAGCAACAGAATGACGACCCGCAAAAGCACTCGTGGACGTGGTCCAGTACGCAACGTCAGCGAAAACCTCGGATCGCGCAACCCATACAATTCGACTCAGAGCCAAAGCCAGCTTACCAACATGATTGCCAGCCAAAGAAACGTCTCATCACGGCGCTCACCACAATTTCCGAGAAGTCACAGCAACCCTCAAGTCGGCGAGAAGCAAGAGAACAACTCAGTTCTGGTCACTATGCTTGAGACCGCCATGTACCAGTGTCAAGCACGATCCGATTTCGTCAATGCGCATATGTACTACAAGACATTGCAGAGTCTGAAAAGACTCAGCTCTCCGACACTGGTCAAGAACGGCTACGCAGCCCTTCTCAACTACTTCTCTCGCAGCCCGCGCGACCTCCTCAGCAAGGCAGCCAATGCCATTGAAGAGTTCGAGGCCTGGTTCGTGTGGCTCAAGCAGTCCCAGGAACGGTCAGATGGTATGGTCGAAGAGATGATGCTCACGTTCAAGAATCTTCGAGACAAGATGTGGTACATCACAGATGTCCGCACTTCCAAGCCATACGAGGACGCCAGGAACGTTGCGCTTGCTCTTAAGATCATGGACCAACAGTCCAAGATGCTTAATGTCAGAGGCCCGTCCGGTTCTCAACCGCGAAACAGCAACAGCTTCTTACGCCAGAACGAAGCTCAGCTGGTTGACCTCATGTCAGCTTCTCAGGATTTCGGTGGCCCGAATAAGCTGTCAGACGAGCAGTCGCAAATCACGCTGAAGTGGCTTATGCAATACAGCGTGGAGAACTTCTGCAAGGGCGAGGAGCGGATACACCGTTTCTGTCTCGAAGTCGACAAGTGCGTCACCAAGGTCATTGGTGAGGGCGTCCTCGATGGGCCCGTGCTCTGGGCCAGCGACCTCTACAAGCGCGACCAACAAATTCTGGAGAGCGGACGGCAGAAGGGCGACCTGTTTCTGACTGGCGTTGGCACTCTTTCCATCGCCGGTGATGAGGAGTACGAGACCCACGGCCGACCTGGTTCTCGTAGCCATGACTTCTCGCAACGACCAAGCCAAGGTAGTCTGCGTGCCGCAGCTAACCGCAATGGATCTTCCAGTTTCGACCAGAGCCCCTGGGGAAGAAACCCCATGGATGCCCCCGACTACTTCGGCGGGTCTTCACCCGTGCATGCAATCGACTCTATGGCTACTTTCTGGTCACCGTTCCAGACCCAAGCGCAGTCTCCTACCAACGCCACAAGCATCCGACCACGTACCGCATCATCATCGAAGGGTACGGTGATGCTGAAGCAATCTGCAATGGTTAATGAAGACAAGCGCCGCTTCATGCTCGATCTGAAGCAAACACTCACAGGCCTGCTTCTGAGTGACCTCGGAACAATGGTCTTCGCCAACGGCAGCGAGACCGACTCATGGTTCGGTGGTGATCTGCTAGACGACTGCTTCGAGCGTAGAGATGAAGAAGAACGGAAACGCAAGAAGCAGCTCGCCAAGAAGAGCATGAAGAACATCCGGAAGCAGACCCTGCCCGATTCACGCAACTTGCCGCTGGAGACGCTCGGTCGCAACGAGCGTGGAACAGCGGCCCCGCCTGTTGCAACTTTCCAACACGCCAGTGCATCCGACGCTCACCAATCTGCCGGCGAGCAATCTTCGACTTCCAGCGACGCGACTTCGCGTTCGGTTGGCAATGCCACAGCGAAGAAGGCTGGGCTACTCGAGTTCCCGTACAACGTTGCTTTCCGACGGCTGTTGGGCAGGTTCCAGACACATCCCAACCCATACTCTAAATTGCATGCATTGTATGAGCTAGAGCTGCTCATCATAGCATCACTCTCTTCTCGAACGGGCCGCTCGTACAACAACCGTCGGGAGACTCTTCCCCCAGTTCCTCAATCACCCACCCTTGGCACCATGCCAGAGCTCAGTTCTCGTGAGCCAGCTACTCAAACTTCGCGTGCACAAAACCTCGAGGAAGCCATCGCCAACTGCGAGGAGCGCCGCTCTCACAGCATGAGCGTGGAACGCGTGAGCAACGCTTCCCCTCTGCCTCGCAACGGTGCACGCTCCCCGGTTGGACCACCAAGCACAGACATGATCGTCGAAGTCATCCAAGGCCTCTTCCGCGACGCTAACATCCGCCCAAAGACCCTGTTCCGAGACCTGCAGTACATTGCATCCTTTGTGCCTGCGCAGATGCTGGACAAGACTGCACGAGGCAAGGCATTCTGGGATGTCGGTCTCGCTGCTCTTGGCCTCAAGCAAGACGTGTGCCGAATCATGGTAGAGCTCGTCGATGAGGTCATCACCCAGAACTCGAAGCGCGATGCAGGCAAAGTCAGCAGTGGAGCTGCTGTCGAGAAGGCTGGTGCATCGTCCACTACACCAGCTCCGGTTGATGAGCCGCTATCCAAGTACACCATGGAGGATGCCGGACGCATGCTTCTCATCACTGCCAAAGAGGGCGACGCAGTGGCCGAGCGTGAGCTTGCCATCTTTTACCTCACATCCCCCGAGCTCGTTCATCGCACAGTCCTGCCACTCACCAGGCCCAGCGAGGTCTTCAAGACTGAGCTTCTCAACCGTGAGAGGAAGGCGTCGCAAGACCCCGCCCGCAGCGACCCAATGACCATGTGTGTCGCGCAACACTGGATGGAGCAGTCCATGAAGGGCGGCGACCAGCTTGCCGCCAAGTACTTGCGCCAGCGCAGCGAGCTGGAGAACATCAACCCGAGCAGGGCATAGTATGTCTTTTTCTGCATTTGGTGTTCGACTCTGCATTGATACCCCGACCCGTCGACCTATTCTTCGTTACCAGCGATACTGCGCAAACCTTTATTCATGCATTTCCGCCATGCGCACAACATCTTTACGGCCTATATACAACCATGACGGCCGGTCAAGCATAGCGAGGAGTTTCCCCATTTTATGTCTTTCACATCACCATCAAGGTTTTCGACTTTAAGCAAGCATGATTCCCCCTGTCGCCTTGATCTTCTTCTATTCGCGTTCTAGTTTATGTCTTCTTCATCTTATAACTTTACTCTTTTTTTTTTCAAACCCGGCGCAAACATGAAGGCTTCGACGATATATGACGCTTGTAGATCCACAGGAAAGGGTACAACGGATGGGGATACCAAATATACCAGGGGCTCTTCTTCGGGAACATTATGGAGCTCGCGCATGGCCAGTGCTCCATTACTTGTCTCTTCCTCGGATTGTTTTCCACCGATGGCTTTTCTATATGCATGAGAATAGGCTTTCTTCAAGGATACGACAACGAATCTCCTTGGACATGAACAATATCCCTTTTTCTGGGCTGGTATCTGATGTTTACATACCATATAGCGTAGATTTCTCTAGCTCTGCTGGGTAGTAACGGCATTGGAATGGATAAATTGTGCAAAAGTACTGGATCGTGTGAGTTACTTGAAGTGATCATGATGGAGCAACAGTAATGGCATGTAAGATGGTAAGTCAGCCACTTTGCAAAGTGCATATGCGCAAAAGGATTGAATACATTGACTGTCCTACTCAACACAGCAAAGCCACCATCAACAACCCCAACTACACTACCAACATCTCAATCTCCTCAACACAGGTACCTCACACGAAACACCATTCCTTAAACATCCCTCCACGAGGCGGAAGCCGGACGAGGCGAATCCTCCGGGCTGTCCTCCGCATGCGCCTGATGCACACTCGTCCCACACATACGGTATGCCGGGTCGTCGACACTAGCACCGCGGCTTGGAGATATACCAGTCACCCTCGGGCGCATGGGCAGACGAGTAGGCTCTTGGAACGACACACTGCGGTGAGCACTTGGTCCGGCGCCGAAGATTTTACGACGGGCCTCTGCAGAGATGAAGAGGGCGGTCTTGGGAGCGGGTGTGGACTTGTCGGGGGTCTTCTTGGAAGGATCTACGTCGGAGAGCGGAAATAGAGGTCGAAATCCAGGTGAGTCTTGCCCGCGCAGATCAATCGTTACTACCTTGTTATAGGCCTTCCGTGGATCTTTAGC